CTTTCCCTCTGAATCTTTCTACATGTATTTTCTTGTTAGACACAGAGACAGAAAATTGTGAACAAGACAGATCTATTTTGAAGCGCAGACTAGCTGCCTCATCTGTTGAAGTTGAAAGACAGGTAATAAACGTTATCACATTGAAGACCGTAGTGTTTTTTCCACTTGTTAACAACTTAACATAGCTTTCACGTGTCACTTTGCAGAGGATGAAATGCTTCCCCTGATAAAGCAAGTTTGATATGAATTTGGAATGAAAATTATACACTGCTGCATTCTCATTTTATACAATATCCAAGCAGTGTATCCATATATTGCTTTTGTTATGTGTGAGAAAATGTTCTATATATGCACAAACATGAATTCAAACAGAGGCCCGGTATAAATGCTCATGAGCTTGTTTGTATTCTTGCCCCAATTTAAAACACCATTTCCTGAATGCTCAAATTTTTTCCTTTGGAAAAATATGATGGAATTAGTTGAATGTAATTATGTTTTTATTTAATTATTATTATTTTATAATTTTCTTAATCCCTATACATGTTATTAGCTTAATAGTAAATATTTTGACATGAATGGAAGAGATAAGTCATTATACGTGATTATATTATGATCATTATAATTTTAGCTTAAATAATTATATGCTAGTTATTTTTTAACAAAGGCCAAACTAGTTATGTGTGACTTAATTTTTTTTTTATTTTAAAAAAATACGCTATACAAAAATAAGGACAAAGAGATGTACTTACTTATTTTCTTTATAAAAACAAACGTAATTTTTAAGAGCTTTTCAAAATATGTACTTCTTAATGAAAAGAAGCATTTAAAAAAAAAAGATTAAACACTACCTTAATATTATTTAAAAAATATATATTAAACACTACCTTAATATTATGTTATTCCTTATTTAGAATTTTGTATCAAGAATTGAGAACTCACACTTAACCGGACAAGATAGAGTGTATATTTTTAAAGTGAAAATACATTTTTTTTTTGCACCTTATAGTTCATTTACTCTACATTTTAATCCCTATAATTATAAATAGACTTTTTAGTCCTATAATTACCTTTTTTTAGTCTTTTTTATTCTTTGTTGTTAATTTTTTTTGTGATGTTGTTTTCGTATAAGTGATGTGAGCTTAATAAATCTAAGTGATAGTGATGTATTTAATTTTCTAAACAATGACCTGTCATTTAATAAGGGAAAATATGACGTGTTTTGATTGTAAGGTTTCTTTCTCTTCATTAATGTGCTCTTGAAGCAAGCAAGGAAAAATTTAATTTATCATATTTCTTATAGTGGAACTTGGTGGGTTGGGTTCTAGTGTGAGGAAAGGAATGTTGTTGTTATGATTTCGTGATAGTGTGTATTGTTTTTTATGGAATTGTTACATCGTAGACGAGAGTAAAAAAGAAACATAAAATGTCAAGAGACCTAATTTAAAATAATTCTAGTAAAATAAATTTTATATCAAATACATAAAATTAAAGATCTTTGTCATATCAATATAAAATATATAATGTTATAAAAAAAAATTAATGGCATGAACTAAAAATAATTAAAAAAGATAAAGTATAAGGAATAAAAATAGTATTTAAAACTATATGGATTAAAAGGTAAAATAAGGAAAAATTATAAGAAATAAAAATATATTTTTAATTATTTTTATTATATTTAACAAAATGTTTTTCAATTAAATTTCACATAAAATATTATTGTTTCGTGAGTATGTCATCATACTTATAATGCATATATGAGCTGAATGAGTATAAACATGACATCTTCATGATTAAAGATAAATTGTGTGTGCTATCAATCAACTCACCCTTGTTGAGAAAAAAGTCTGATAACATTTCTATAGAAGGATAATATTTGATGTGAAATTACTTTAAAACATATGATTTTTGTTAAATATCTATTAAAAATAGATTGCAAGCTTACCAAATAATTAATTATAAGTCTTTAGTACTCGATGCAAGAATTTCCAAACAATGAACAAATTTTTTGAATCAAAATAAGCCCACAAAAATTAGCATATTATATTTGTGTTAATCAAGGATTTTTGATTTTTTTCTCTCATAATTTTGGTGTTCGTAACTATTTTTTGTACAATGTTTGAAATTTCTTAAGAAACCAAAAACATTTTTAATTCTAAAAACTAATTATAATCCCTTTTTTTTTTGCCTTTCTTTCTTCGTTTTTTTTCCCACTTCAAATGAAAATTATATATTATGGGGCAATTATTCATAATAAAACATTTCAGCTTCCAAATTTTCGACTCTAGTTCAGTGAAACAAACACGTTTGTTGTATATCTCAACTTCAATTTCCATTTTTGTGACTCAATGCAAAAATTGTCTAATATGTAAACGTACAAAATAATGAAAACAACAACTATTTCTCTTATAATTGTAGTATGAAATCTATGGACGAAAACTGCGAACGAATTCAACAATACTGATTTCCATCTATTCCAAGTCTGATTTTACCTTTTCATTTAAAATCAAGAAAAGATAATTACGTTATTTTATCAACAACAAAAAAAACATTGATATACTACTATGAAACACATGAATCAATTAACATGAAATTATTATTATTTTTTTATTTGATAACAAGGTGTAACTCTTCTCACCGAATCAATTGTTGGTTAAAAATAAAATGATATTTTAATTATGACTTTATATGTAAATTAAAAATTGAGCTCTAATCTTTAATTAAAGAGTACTAATGACCTTGGATAACATAAAGTTATTTGAATTTAACTCAAAATATCAAATTATGTTCTGAATATACAATTATATTAACTTGAGTGAATTTATTGTGTATAATAATTTTATTTAATTCGATGAAAAATTATTTTATTTATCGGTGGCATTAGAATATAGGAATTGTGTTCTTTTATATAGACATTTAGAAAGTAAGGTTTGTATTTGAATAGAGGAATGTTAAGATGTGAGTACATTAATGATAACCAAAAGACAAGAAGTGGTGACCTATAAAACGGGCATTGAAGAATGAAGATATTACGGCACAGCTGAATGCCACGGAATGACGGAACTCATGAACTCATAGTCATATACATACATAGCTTAGGTTGGTTTGGGAACATAAATCACATCAAAGTTAAGTACATTCATCTCGTGTCCCACCCTCTACTAATATCTCTCCTGTCGATTCATTTAAATGCTTTGGGGGGGAATTGGGTTGAGTTAGATAAATTTAGATAAATTTA